CGGAACACGTGATTATCTGGCTGGGGGTCCTTCCCATGTAGTCCGGGTAATCGAGTGGAGACAGTATATGTATTGTGCGGTCTAAGGGTTAATCGACTGAGCTACGACATGGTATAAGAATTGTAACCAGAAATTCTACTGAATTTACTTGGATCCTGCAGCCTCTCCGAGACACAAACCAGAATTTTACACAATTCCCCCATGCAATTCCCAGGATCCGAGTAAATTCAGTAGAATTTCTGGTTGCAATTTCTGGCTGGGGAGGCTTCTTCCCCAGCGCTCTGTCGGGTCATCTTGGAGTGCATACGCTTGTGCATGGTCGAAATGACCCCGTACCTCTGGTGGGTTTCCCGTCTGTTTCCAGTGCTGAAATTGGACTGTGCGGATCTGAGGTTCATTCTGGGCTTGTCCCGTCTGAACCCATGGATTCCCTGCATCAGAATGGATGACTACATTGTTTCAGGTCCAACTTCTGTTGGAGCCGGGAGCATGGATGGTGTCCCTGGATCTCGAGGATGTGTATTGGCACTTTCCTATTCATCCGGGGTTCAAAGACTGGTTAGGTATCGTGGTCTCAGGCTTACTGCTTTCGTTGCCTTCCTTTTGGCTTGTATTTGGCACTTCGCATATTCGCGCGTCTTACCCGGGTCGTGGTGACCCGTCTGCTAGGGGTTCGGGTTCTGACCTATCTTAATGACTGGTTGGTGTGGGCTCCCAGTCGGTCTGCTTGTCTGCTCGCCAGAGGTGTGGTTCTTTCTTAGCTCGCAGGTTCGGGTTCCAGGTGAACTGGCGGAAATCCCATCTGGTTCGGACCTGGCTGTGTCTTGTTTGGGACTCGGACAGTTTCCATGTCTCTCCCTCCGGAGACATTGCTATGGCAGTGGTTCCGCCTTCAGCTGTTCTTGGGTCACTCGGCAGTTGCTCGAGTGGTTGTGCGAGAGTCTGCGCAATTCGCCGTGCTGGTCTGCCTGCTGGGTAGGGTTTGGTTTCGGTGTCTTTTTGGTTCATTTAGGGATACCCCTTCCGCCTCTCACGCGATCACTGAATTCGTTTTCTGGGGCCTTGCATCGGTTGCTGCTGCGTTGCTGGCTTCCTCTTCGGGTTTTTCGGGTTTCAGTGCCTTGGCGCCTGCCCGAGCCCTCACTTGATGTGGTCACGGACGCGTCATCTCTCGGCTGGGGCTTTGTGACCAGTGCTCACCAGGCCAGTCAGGGACGGTGGGGTCCATCCTTCCATTGGGCTCACAGCATGGTGCAGGAGTTTGCGGCGGTCTAGCTGTTGCTTTGGAAGGTTCAGGTCACTTGGGGCTCAAACGTTCGGCTCCATTCGGACTGTTCTCCGGTGGTTCATTGCCTGAACCGTGGGGGTTCTCTTCGGTCCTTGCCTCTTTCGGGCTGGTCGGTTCGAGTGGCTTGTCTGCTGGCTCTCTGTGTGGTTCATATCCGGAAAGTGTCCAACGTCCTGGCGGAGGGCCTGTCTCGAATCATTCCCCTGTCCACGGAATGGATGGTCGACGCCAACTCCTTCAGTTGGCTCTGCCGGACGTATGGACTACTGGAGGTGGACCTCTTCGTGTCAACTTGGTTGCGGCATCTCCCAATATATGTGGCGCCCTTCCCTGACCACGAAGTGTTCACAGTGGACGCCTTTCGGCAGGACTGGTTGAGGTGGGGGTTACCTGTACATTTTTCCTCCAGTCCAGCTATTGCTTCAGGCTCTGGCTCAGTTGGAGTCTTACCACAGAAGAGTAGTCCTCTTGGCCATTTGGTGGTCGGCCCAATCTTAGTTTCAGGCGCTGCTTGCTCAGTGTCCGGACCCGGGGCATTTTCCGTGGCTCTGCCTCTTCCAGTGGATTGGACTGGTCCAGTATTTGGCTGGTTCGGTCTTCTCCTTCACTCTTCGTGTCTGGTCTCTTTGACGCGGGTTTATCACCATTTGTATGGTAATCAGGTGGCTTCGTTGATGGTGTCCCACCTGAGAACTTCGTCTCGGTGGCAGTATGAAGTTCCTGGAGTTCTTTGTGCCATTTTCTCTCACCTAATAGGCTGTCTTCTATCTCCGATAGTTGTTTTGTCCTTTGTTTTTTGTTTTTTCAGGACCGTCACTTAATGCCTAATACTGTTGCCTTGTATCGTGTGGTGCTGCTCTTGCTTCCATTCAGGGTGGATGTCACTACTGCCCTGTTCCTCAAACTTTCTCGTGCTTTGTTTTACCTCTGGCCTGCTCATGTGCCGCCCGAGTCATCCTGGTCATTGGACAAGGTGCTCTCCTTTCTCTCTTCTCGGTTTGTTGTGGCCCCTTCGGTTCGGGATTGCTTTTCTAAGGTCTCTTTCTGTTGGCATTGGCCTCTGCTGGTTGGGTTGGCGAGCTTCATGCTCTCATCCAGCGCAGGGGTTTTGCTCCTTCAATCCTGGTAGTCGGTTTGTTCGTTTGCAGCCTTCTCCTTCTTTTCTGGCGAAGAATGAGATGGCTGCCTTCCGGAGGGGTCCTTGGGTCATTGGTGCTTGGTTGGTCAGGCCATGGGTGCATCATGTGTTGTGTCCAGTGGGGGCTCTTCACCATCACTTGCATGCCTCGGCTTCTGTGGCCGGGAATGTGCTTTGGGTTGATCTGGTTTCCCTCGTTCCCCTGTTCCAGGACTCGGGTCCGACAGGTTGTCCGCAGGGTTATAAAGTCTAGCCAGCCTGTGGTCTATCCTCGTGCCCATGACGTTCGGAAGTTTGCTGCTTTTTCTGCCGTCTTTGGCAATACTGTATGTCTTGTGGGACATTTGGGGCTTGAATCTAATTATTTAAATATTAATGTAGTAAAATAAATTACGAAGGACCACCCGCTTTTATAGTAAAGAGGGAAACTGAGAAATTATGATCATTTGATAATTCCTAGATGAACCAGTAACTATGGATAAAATACTAGAGAATATGATCATAGAAATAATTAATGGGCTGTATAATTAAATGAATCAAACCTCAAACACCTACATTGGGGGGTTATTACTGGAACTCAGTACGTCCAGGAACTAGTGTGGTTCGTTCACTAATCCAAGATATAATAATCTAATCCTATGGATAATTGTGAAATCATTGTCATTATCATTAATGGGAACATAGATTATGAATATAATAATGATAATCATAATAAACACATGTCAATCCAATAAACAGAGTTCTGCATGTAAAGAATTACAAATAATAAATTAGAGGAATACAAAGGAATCTTAGCTTAATGACGATTCCTTAAAGTGAGTCACGACGCTTCCTCTAATTCTCCTGGGCTCGGCATAGAACTCTTAGGAGCTGGATAACATGGGAGTGGGCAGCTAGGAGAATTCTTCTCACATGCTGCAAAATAAATGTTTACAGTAGCAACTAATTAAACTACTGGATTTCTATGTTCAATAAATTAATATTAATAATGGGTGAAGGATAATGACCTGTGATTTGTTGTTGTTATGCGTCGTCACGACAAACTACCCAGCTATAATTCTACACCCTATCAGATGCATCAAATAAGGATAAGATACTTAGCCAATATGGGCACTGTGTAAGTTTAAGTTTGCCGAAATTCGCGTCCCAGGCTCTGGCTTAGCCTATCTTGGATAATGACGCACTTCACTGGCCGGTCACGTGGAGTCACAAAGAACCAGCTTTGATAGGTTCCTTGTATGACACTGACACCAGGTGAAGATATTGTCTGCAAGGTTCTTCACGCCTCACAGTGGCGACTTTCTTCGGGAGAATGGATAGCATTTACCCTGATGGATGGGTAATGGCGTCTCCTCGTGAGCACTACGTGAACAGGTCCGCTCGGGAGCGTCTCAACACGTGCATTAGCGTCCTCTCCCTCCCCGCTCCGCGTCTCGCGTTCATTAACCAAGTTATTATTATGGATATTAGCATTTCTCGCGGTTGTGCTTGAAATGCTCGAGTCAGGACGGGTTTATTATTGGGAAGAGTTAAATATTATTATTTGCCAGTTCAGTGAGAGTAAACATATAATGGAGAAGAATTAATGTCTCTCCAGGGCATTCACGTGTGACGTTAATTTTTATTACTAGATAACTGTTATGACTTTAACGCTCTATTCGGCTTTAGTTGGAGGTCAATTTATTTGTAATTAATTATCACACAGAACACCGTTTGTTATAGAGAATCGAATTCAATTCTCAGGCACATTGGATATAAATGTGCTTATTACAATGAAATCTGACGCAATACTGGCGTCGGGTGACGTAAGAATTCTAGCCTATTGTACAGATGTGATTATTAGTACATGTGAATTCTACGTTGTGTTAATTTTACTTACTACAATGATTAGTAGAATTAGTAATAATTAATGAGAATACAACAGTGTTGTATTCGGTGTTGGAAATTTCCAACATGTCTTGGGCTGATATTTGGGCATAGGGATTTTGGAGGTTGAACAGGATCCTGGCCACCCAATATTAAGTTAATATTCCTGGTCCTGAGTGTTCATGTGTGGTTTTGGGTCACAGGTTGCAGCCCGTTGTCTTGCCCTCAAGTTGAGGCATGTTTGGCGGCTGCCTCCCAGGTAAGTCCCTCTTTTATTTGTCCTTGGTTATGTAGTTCCAGGGAGCCGACGGGGCTCCCCTCAGAATACAGTACAAGCATTGAATGTAATGAAACGCCAATTTCTGGGTGAGCCCCGGAGGCTCCCAGGCACTCTCCCTGCCTCCAATTGGCAATTTTTTTTCCCCCTCTTCAGCATCTGAACTGCGGTTGGGTATCCGGTGCAGGAGGTCTGGGACCCCCTTCCCCTAATATATATATACACATCAGCCCAGTGTAGCTCTGGGGATTCTCCGGGTCTCGTCCAGAAAATGGCGTTTCATTACATTCAACACTGGTTTTTGGTAATTCTTAAATTATTTAAATGATTTTATTGTGTCAAACATAAAATAAAAGTATAAATTGTGAGAATGATGATCTTGATTATTTTACAGCTGAAAACTGCTTTAATTCAATGGTTTGTTCCTCCAGGTATGTAATGATGGCTCCATTTAAAAAAGAAAAAGATGTCACTTCGAAGGTGGAGTTGGTGAGGCGCCTGCACAGTAAGCTCACACAAGAAGTGGCTCAGATGAGAAATTACCTTGGTGAACTAGAGAAAAAAAATAATTTTCTACAAGCAGAAGCACTTCGTCATCAAGTTGAACTGTCGTCTGATTATCCACATGTTCGGTGTGTATATTTACCTAATGTAGCACTGATAGGCCTTGTTCACACAGAAATTGCACTGTACTATATTTTCATTATTAATTGTAATCAGTATACATACCATCAAGGAGCCGGTCGGCCGAGCGGACAGCACGCTGGACACGTGATCCTGTGGTCCCGGGTTCGATCCCAGGCGCTGGCGAGAAACAATGGGCAGAGTTTCTTTCACCCCTATGCCCCTGTTACCTAGCAGTAAAATAGGTACCTGGGTGTTACAGCTGTCACGGGTTGCTTCCTGGGGGGTGGAGGCCTGGTCGAGGACCGGGCCGCGGGGACACTAAAGCCCCGAAATCATCTCAAGATACCCTCAAGATACCTATTTTATTATGTACAACATGGTAAAAATATTGAAAACTTTTTTGGGAGGGTCACCTCAATGGCAATCCTAACTACCCTCCTGGAACCTTTCCTAACCTTAGGTATCACACCAGGCTCTGACAAATTATGAATGAGTGACTACTGGAAATCATGTCCAGAATCTAGTGCCCTCAGTAGAAGCATTGGGGAGTTTGCGAACACAGTACTACAGGAAAGACTACCAGACACATTTTTGACTAGCTAAAAATGTTAAATATTTATTCCCTTGAGTACAGACAGGAGAGATACATAATAATTTAGGCTTGGAAAATGTTAGCTCTGGTTCCAAATCTGAACACGGAAATAAGATCACATGAAACCATGTGGTAGGATGTGCAAAATAGCCCTACTGAAGAGCAGAGGTGTAAATAGGCAAGGTGAGAGAGAACTTGACCAACATCAAAGGGCCAAGACTTTTCAACACTTCCCCTACATACGGGGTATAACTGGCCGATCTCTCGCAGTTCAAAAGAGAACTCGACCAGCACTTTCTAAGGATACCCGATTAACTAGGCTGTGACTCATAGGTTGGTCTGTGAGCAGTCGCATCAAACAGTCTGGTGGATCAGACCAACAACCATGAAGCCTGGTCAAAGACTGGGTAACAGGGACATTGGTCCCCAGAACCTTCAACAGGTAGTCAACATTCTTGGATATGAGTGCCTCGTTATTGAGAGCATGACCACAGGGTAGCACATGCTGTAGCAGCTCACAGCACCACCGTGTAGCTTGTGCCCACAGCATTACTTAATCATGATGAAATAAATAAGTAACTGATTATTTTTGCAATGATAGTGTCAGACTTCCTGAGTGATAAAGACTATGGGCAAGATTCGGATATCAGTGGACACAATGCTGATTATAATGTTCACAACTGGTGGTAGACACCTGTCATTTCATGTATCTATACATCATGGAACGGATTCTCATGTTCCTTTAGAAAATAAACTTGTGGGAAATGATTAATATGAAAAGACAAGATGGCTGAAACTGTGACTAATCTAAAAAATGATTTTGTCTTCTTAAAATGTTAATTTGTGTTCCCTGAGCACGGGAAAAAAAAAAAATCGTAGGTGACATATTTTGGGCGCAATTGACCGAGGAAGTCTGGCAAAAAGTGGGCGTTGACAAAGCGGTCGTCAGAGCCGGTCAGCGTCACCCGCTCTGACAAGTGGGAGTTGCCACAAAGATATTATTACCTAATTGTTTCAATGTCTCCGATTGATTTTTTCTTAGTTTTTTGCAGTAATATTATTCAATAGTGTGTATTGTAATATATTTATATAATAAAAGTTGTGAATAATTGCTATACTCAAAAGTATGGTGTGCATATTAGTGATTCAATTATTATGTTCTGAAAACAATAAACAAATAGTTTTGCTGCTATTACACTCAATACACAGGTTATATATAAGTATCTGCATGTTTTGTTCACCATAACGAACCACTAAGTTGGTATTGAGAGTCGAAAAGCAACGAGGAGTGACCGCCACTCCCTCAACAATGCCTCACTCGCCCACTTTTTCCTCCCACCGTCCTGTTTTATTCAAAATATACAGACGTTATATATAAGAATCAACATGTTTTGTTCACCACAAGTGTACAACTAAGCTGATATAGTTAGTTCATGCACTAAGAGTCGTCGCTACGCACACAGTCAGCTGGGGGCTCCCTCACTCATTCAAGGTCACATGCACTAAACTTTCTTCCCCAACAATACCATTTGTGGTATTATTACACTATATACAGACGCTATATATAAGTATGTATATATTTTATTCACCACAACTGTACAGCTAAGCTGATATAGTTCTGGCACTAGGAGTCGTCGCTATACACACAGTCAGCTGGCGGCTCCCTCACTCATTCAAGGTCACACGCACTAAACTTTCTCCCTCAACAATACCACTTGTGGTGTTATTACCCTATATACACACATTATATATTAGAATCTACATGTTGTATGCACCTTAACTGTACACGTAAGCTTGTAGAGTGCCCAAAGAGCATAGTGGCCACCCTCTAAACAGCTAGACAAATCATGCAGACGACGTCACCTCCGTCACCCAAATGGCTCCTCCCAACAAAATCCTTTTGCTGTTATTACACTAATACACACATTATATATAAGTATCTACAATTGTGTTCACCATAGAGAACCACTGAGCTGGTACGGTGAATGCAGACAATAACAGGTGGCCACACAGTCAGTAAACGATGCTATCTCCCTCCGTCTCTCAGCATCACTCGTCCCACGGTGCTAATTATTACAACAATCCTGCTATTATCACAACCCTGGTTATTTATATCACAGTCAGGGGTCATCTGTAATATTGTCATCGCTAAATAATAGCAATTATATATTTATTTTGACATTTTTCGGCGATGCTGTGGTCACAAGCTGAACAACATTGCTTTTCGCTCATGCTGCGTGCGCCAGCCTTGGTTGCTCCAACAGTACTGTGCCTCTCACACCTGAGAATATTGCCCACGATTTAAAAAAAAATGGCGTCTGTTTACAAGAGCCCTGAGGAAGCTAATGTGAACCCTGTGTAGCCGCGGATATTTGAATCGCGTCTGGCACCCTATGGCGTATATGTACACCATGCGCACCGTGGGACATGTTACTCGTTGCGTATATATACGCCATGCGCAGTTTAAGGGTTAAGTACCTCGAACTTCTCCTCGTAGCTCTTGTCTTTCAGTTCCGGTAGCCATTTACTTGCATGGCTTTACACCTTTTCTGGTTTGTTGATGTGCTTCTTAAGATATGGGCACCATACAACCGCTGCATATTCCAGCTTTGGTCTAACAAAGGTGATGAACTATTTCTTTAATATTTCACCATCTATGTATTTGAAAGCAATTCTGAAATTGGAAAGTGTAGCATAGGCTTCTTACACAATGTTTATGTGGTCCTCAGGTGATGGTTTTCTCTCTGGAACCACCCCTAGATCTCTTTCTCTTATCAGAATTTTTTAAAGCTTATTCACATAATTTGTAAGTTGTGTATGGTCTATTTTCTCCTACTCAACATTCCATAACATGGTATTTATTCACATTAAATTCCATTGGCCAGGTGGCATTCAATCCACTTATTTTGTCCAAGTTCTTTTGAAGGACATGACAATTGTCTAAAGTTTAATTTCCTTAGTATCTTGGTATCATCAGCAAACATGTTCATATAGTTCTGCTTTCCATCTGGTAGATTGTTTATGTAGACAATGATCATTACTGGTGCAAGAACTGAACCCTGTGATACTCCACTCGTGACATTTCTCCAGTCCAATACAGTACCTCTGATTACTGCCTTCATTTTTTTGTTAGAAAATTTTTCATCCATGTTAAAAGCCTCCCTGTCACTTTTCCAGTATGTTCCAGTTTCCAGAACAACCTCTTATGTGGAACATCTACCTAAAAGATGTTCACACGAACACATCCCACGTGTACCTGCTTGATACCTGCTTGATGGGGTTCTGGGAGTTCTTCTACTCCCCAAGCCTGGCCCAAGGCCAGGCTTGACTTGTGAGAGTTTGGTCCACTAGGCTGTTGCTTGGCGCGGCCCACATACCCACCACAGTCCGGTTGGTCCGGCACTCCTTTGAGGAAACAATGTAGTTTCCTCTTGAAGATGTCTATGGTTGTTCCGGCAATGTTTCTTATGCTCGCTGGGAGGACGTTGAACAACCGCGGACCTCTGATGTTTATTCAGTGTTCTCTGATTGTGCCTATGGCACCTCTGCTCTTCAATGGTTCTATTCTGCATTTTTTCCATATCGTTGATGCCAGTATGTTGTTATTTTACTGTGTAGGTTTGGGACCTGGTCCTCCAGTATTTTCCATGTGTATATTATTTGGTATCTCTCTCGTCTCCTTTCTAGTGAGTACATTTGGAGAGCTTTGAGACGATCCCAATAATTTAGGTGCTTTATCGCATCTATGCGTGCCGTATATGTTCTCTGCATTCAGAGAACCCTCTTTTTCAGCAAGATGAACTGAACACCCTCTTTTTCAGCAATCTCTCCTGCACTGAAGGGGGAAGTGAGTACTGAGCAGTACTCAAGACAGGACAACACAAGTGACTTGAAGAGTACAACCATTGTGATGGGATCCCTGGATTTGAAAGTTCTCGTAATCCATCCTATCATTTTTCTAGCTGCCGCAATATTTGTTAGGTTATGCTCCCTAAACGTTAGGTTGTCAGACATCATTATTCCTAAATCCTTGACATGCTGTTTTCCTACTATGGGCAGATTCGATTGTGTTTTGTACCCTGTATTATGTTTCAAATCCTCATTTTTGCCGTACCTGAGTACCTGGAATTTATCACTGTTAAACATGTTATTTTCTGCTGCCCAATCGAAAACTTTGTTGATATCTGCTTGTAGTTTTTCAGTGTCTTCTGCAGGGGTAATTTTCATGCTGATTTTCGTGTCATCTGCAAAGGATGGCACGAAGCTGTGACTTGTATTTTTGTTTATATCTGATATGAGAATAGGGTAAAGCAGTGGTGCAAGGACTGTACCTTGAGGTACAGAGCTTTTAACTGTGCTTGGGCTTGATTTTATTTGACTATTACTCTATGTGTTCTGTTCGACAGGAAATTG